TTAATTTCTTGTTGTAGGAATTCTTGTTCGTCAGAAGAGATGCAGTAGGGTCTTTGCTTGATGGACGCAGCATCTTCTATAAGGATATGATGGCGCATTAAATCTGTATATTCTAGCTTATAGTTTGACTGTTTTCAGAGATATCTGTAGCAAACACCTTGTGATTTCAGAGCAACAAATTCTTTGTGGCTTTCTTTTGCTCCATTGTTACTTCTTGCCCCATGTTATACTCAGGATCTTTGTTTTCTTTAAGGTCATTCTGAGAAATATCTGTAAGATATACTGTGGAGTTCTTGTTTGTACTAACTTTGTGCTCCCAAGGGTTAAAATATAGATATTCGTCTGAGTCAGTTATTAGTTCATTGAAGAAAAACATTTCTAACTCTTCTTCTTTGTCTAACTCATCAATCCACTAGCCGTTGTCATTGTTGTCTTCAATAGGTGCTAATAGGAGACTCATGATATGGGTGGTGTTGATAGTGGTTTGTTTTCTTAGATAACGAATCTACAGAATATGCTTCCTGAAATCTAACATAGCACTTGATTTCGTGAACTAATCAGTTCCTAATAGCAAGATTTCTTCCTTTAATTTAATTACCTGGAGGTCAATAGAGATCATGATATCTTGGAGGACGATTTTTACATTTTCAACTATGCTTAGAGCTCTGGTCCTTCCTCTATTGGTAGTTACAACAATAGTCCTTGATTCCTGTGTAGGTGTAAGCTCTAGCTACTGCATTAATTTTTGGATGATAATGCTTACTGTGGCTCCAGAGTCCAATATTGCTACCACAGAATTACCCCTGATTTTTATATGACATCGCATGGCGATGGTCTTTTGGACCTGATCAGTTGTGATTTGATTTGCTTTAGTAGCCAGGTTTCGACGCTGGTTGAGATATTGTAATAATTGCTTAATTATGATATTAGAATGCATATTCAATAGGTCTTCTAATATGTTATAGGGAGTCAGCTTGTCTACAACTGATAGTAATCGTTTCTGTACAGTTCTCTTAGTATGTGTGACAGGAGTGGATTGGGGCTATGGGCGGGTTTGAGGTTGAGGCTGGGGTCATAGTTGAGGTTGAGTTTGGCGGGCTTAACTTCCATTGGTATACTTGTTGATGCTTGAAGTCTAGGTGCTATTTTCCTATAGATCTGTTCCCTTTGCTAATCTGATTGCTTCTGCTTGGCTTCCCTTCTATCTTTAGTATAAGGCTGGGATCTAGAATTCTGAGAGGTATATATTAATTCTTCTTCATCATCATCATAGTATTCTTCAGTGCCATAGTATTCTTTGGTGTCAGCGTAATTGACGTTTCATCAGCAATTAGGGTGAGAGTAAGGGAGTTGAGAGCTTGGCCATTTTATAGAGCTTCTTTCTGATAAACAGTTTTGAGCGATATGACCTCTTTCACCATATTGATAACAGGTGGGACTGGTTTTGGAAGCTACTGTAGTTTTCACAAGTCTGGATGTTATTTATGTGGTTAAGGCTGAAGCAATGGTGGCGTAGTTGAAGGATATCTGTTGCATCTGTTCTGTAAGAAACTCAATATCTTTTTCTATGTCTTTTGACTTTTTAGTCTAGACAGGGCCAGTATTAATAGTGAAGTCAGTCCTTTGTTCGTGAGTTCACGCCAAGTTAAGAATCCTATCTAAACTAATAGAACTGTGCATCAAGACTAACAGGAGCATATCGGGTCTTAACCTCTACTTGAAATAATATAGTTTTGAGCATCCTCAACTTTTCTGCTGATTTCAAACTGTTTTACTAATTGCTTAAATTTACTATAATAGGTATCAACAGGTATGTTCTGCTGTTGCTTCAAAGTGTCCAACTCACGCAGCCATTTATTCTGCCAACATTGGGTGCAAAACTGCTTCCTGAAAGCTTGGACAGTGGCGGTTTAGTCGTCGATATGATTGGTAGTTGTTGCATTATTAGAAAAATATATTTGCTGCTATTCATCAACGTTATCTCTTAAAAAAGCTCTTTTTCTTTTTGTATCCCAGTTATTAGCAGCAGCAGCTTTTTCAAAACTCTCGATCCACACTTGTGGGTCCTGGGCTCCATCTCCAAAAAAGGGTTTGATTCTCAAGAGGTTACTTTCTTTGGAATTTGACTTAAGGTATATGAGAATATCGTCATTTATGATCATGGTTTCTACAAATGAGGACGATTTCAAATTCGTGAATACACTTAGATTGGGTTTTTTGAAGGATTTGATAGTTGAGGGAGTTGAAAACTTAGCCTTTGACTTAGAATTTTCGACAAATTGTTCTAACAGAAGTGTTGTTAACTCTTCTTTAAATTCTAGAAATAATGGGTCCTTTTTAAAGCAGTTCATATATATCGCGATTGATAATATTAACCTTACTAATTCAGTTAAACTTCCAGAGGTTTATTATATCGAATACTAAATATTAACCTGCAAATGATATTTTTACACTGTGGTAAGTTAAATTGTTTTAAAATTTCTTCTAATTCTTTAAGATATTCTACAATTTTTTCAGAAAAAGAAAATACAAGTGTGGTTAGCCTATACTAGGTAATGAAGTGTTTGAATGATTGTGACAGATTATCCTTTATCGGATAACAAATTTCATATGAATCGTCATTTAGTTTATTTTCTGTATCTTTTCAATGTGCTCTTTGATGTTTATCAATTCTTTCTAAGTATTTTTTAAAATTAAAACTTATGCAATTTCGTGGTTTTATTTTTATTTATAATGATGGAGCCATATCTCACAGTTATTATCAAATGTTATATCTGGAATTACCTCTTATAAATCTAGTATAATGTTTTATTGTAGCGACAGATATATTAGTTAGTTAACAATAAATGCCAATTTATACTAAGTAAAAATATAGATTTTAGTTGCGATTACGCTGTTAAGAGAATTTGAGTGATTTGCTATTATAAAAGAAGCAAACGGCTATATATATATAGAGATACGAATAGTCGTTTAAACAAGTTTATGATTTATACTCAAAGTTATTCGTGTATGAAGACACTATAATCAAGATAGAGTTTATTCAAACGATCTGTATATGAAAACATGATCATACTTGTAAAGAAGGGTTGTTTGTATGATTTATTTAATAAAGTATTCAAGTTGTTTTTGTATGAAAATATGATTTACTCTTTATTTATTGTCAAGTTGTTGGAACTTCAAGTTCTGTTCTTTACAAAAGAAATATCTGTCTTTTTATACCTTTTGGCCCTCTGCTTTTTGTTACTATTTTTACAAATTACAATTTTTACTAGAACCACTAATTTTAAGAATAAACATTAGTGCTACTAATGCTATTATCACTACTATTGCTACTAGCACCAGTGTTGTACATTTTTACTGTCCCAAGCTTTTTTGCTATGTCTCAACATTCCAATGTTTCAATGTTCCAGAATGTTTCAACTTAGTCCCAAGTTTTAATAATTAATAAGTTAATTGAAAAAATATATAATTATATATTTTTTTAGGTGCTGAGTATACTGTATTTTTAACAAAATTAAAGTAGATTATCTTAATAAAATTTTGAGTAATTTTAATTTATAAAATTGTCCCAAAATGTTCTAAAATGTCCCAACTTATGTCCCAACTGTCCCATGTACAACATTGACTAGCACTACTAATACTACTAGCAATACTACAGCATTACTTGCATTGGTGTTACATCGTGGTTATTTTGTTACATAAGATTAACTACAGGGGTTAACAGTACCTTAAGTTTAACTTATTATGGGTAAATGGATCGTGAAATTGCCAGTTTTTAGACTACAATCATATATCAGATTTTCAATTGCCTATATAAATGGTTTGTGTAACAACATGTTCGGAGTTTATCGGATGCAAGTTTTCCCTATGCTCTCCTAAAATATTCAGATTTATAAACTTTTACTAATACTGTAATAAAATTAAAAAAAGGGTTGTATATTATTAAGTTAGGCAGTTTTACAATTAGTCTTAGTAGGTTTTTGAATCTTATATTCATGTATACAGAATAATCATTTAAACAGTATTCATATAGACAGGTTTGACTATACGTACAAGTATAATCTATTTATATTTGATTTTATATTCTCAAAAAAGCATTTCTTAAAATTTTAACGTTCTTAATATTCTTGAAAATTTAAATTTTTTAACATTAAAAGAGAACTTTTTTATGTCAAAAATTGTTAAATGTTTTGTTTTAAAACATTGAACTTTAAATACTGAATACAATAGATCCTAGAATTATCAGGAAAAAAAGATTTACTATATATAACATTGGATTGTCTCCGTATAGACGAACCATACTCATCATGTATCATAAATAAGTACGGTAGAATTTTAACGGATTTTTATATCCTTCACCAAAGCAAAAACAGGAACACATGATCCTTTTTATCTTTAAAATAAAAGAACCCTAAAATTTTGTTTTTTGCCGGAGAAGTTATTACGAAAGTTGAAATCTATTTTTGAAATTGAACACAAGTGATAAACGACAATGGAATCTATGGGACAAACAATAAGGCACGTGTTTCCCAACTGTACGACAGGGACACGGAAATTTTTCGAAAGCAACTTTTCAAAAGAAAACAAAATTTTTTGCCCCAATCGAAATTTTTCACAATTTTTTGCTCCAAGTTACATATAAAAATAAATCACATGAAATGATATTATTGGCTCAAGACAAATGTTATCATGTGATTGAAATTCACAGCACAGCTAAGCCTCCGAAATTCGAAACAACCACGTGATCTTCATAATTCCAGCCAGAGTTACTTGACTTGAAGCTTAAGTTTAGCCAAATCGAAATAAATCGAAATTTTTGCTTAAATCGATCGAAATTTTTGGTTTAAATCGAAAGAATATTTCCGTGTCCCTGCTGTACGATCTTGCTCGTCACCTGATACATCCAAATAAAGGTATATAAAAAAGTGAATTCCGAGCAAAGGTTTCGTAGCGACAGTAGCAAAGAAAAATTAATCTTTTTGAAATTTACGTTTATGAACATGGATTCTTCTCCTCCACCACCGGAATCAGTACAGGAACCAACTCCATTATCAGACTCCGAAAAGGTAAAATAAATAGTCTACTTTTTAAAGAATTACTAAACTGCATTGCATTCTATATTGCATTCTATATTGCATTCTATATTGCATTCTATTGATCTGCCGATTATTTTAGATACGTTTAAAGCGTCTTGCAAAACTGCAACAAAGTTCGAATAATTCAAGTGAACCTTCCCAGCCTACTGCATCGTCCTCTAAAACAGTGCCTGCGCGAGCAAGTATTTTACCAAAAACGCCTGTCCAAGAAAAGCCTGCATCGCCGATCAAAAAATATTCGCTACCTGTTAATAAAGAGCAACTTCCTGAGAGGGTATGACTTCGTCGTTACTGTTTTTAATTTCTCCCATTTGATAACATACTTTGTTTAAAAAGAATTGTTATTCTTGTATGGCAAAAATCTAGAAATCATAATCCGCAATGCATTTGTTCCAATTTATTGTAAAAAGTTGGATCAGTTATTCAAATATCGATTTTTATGTTTGAATTACACAAATCTATATAACCTTTCATATTTCTTATGAACATTTAAAAATTCCGTTTATTGTTTTCACTACAGACTACACCTAAAATTTCACCACCAATTAAGCCCTTTGAAGACTGGCAAAATGATACCATCTCCAAAGTTCTTCAAATTACCCTTGACGTAAGTTGATCATTACATATGTGTAGTTTTGATAACTTGACTTATTACTTAATTGATAAATGTTTTTTTCTTTTTTTAATCAAAGAAATCGGTCGCCGAAAAAAGTGGAAATCGTCTAATTTATCTCGATTCTGTTGCGAAAACGTTAATGGAAGAAAATCCTGGTATTATTCAACACGCAACTAGTCATAATTCACATAACTATTTCTTAAATGCTAGCAACATTTCATCGCATGCTATAATACTAAACCTGAAATAATTAATAGGAGTGTTCTCTTTTAAATTGACAAAATCGGTTCTTGATAGCGCTCTTTTTGCTCGACTGTCTCTTGATCCTAATCAAATGAGTGATGGTGTTGAGCTTCCTAAAACTCCCTTATTCGATTATTTGCTTTACAGCTGGAAAACAGCTTCTGAAATTAAAAGATCAACACGTAGTTCTAAAGTACTAATTCATAATAGTTATTGTCAGGAATTAACATAATTGAAGATTTTTTAATATTTAACCAATTTTTATAGAATTTAGAACAATCGGTTATCAATGAACGAGTCAGTGTCATAGATACGCTTAAAGATCTTATAATTAACTACATACAATATGTACTTCTGTATCCCGACGATCTTCCACAAATTAGGGGGTATTTGTTATTTCACTAATTGATACTAATTGATTATGTTATGATTTATTAAAACTGTCTATTGAATTTAGTTCCACTGAGCTTGGCCCTAGTCAATTTGTATCAAGATTATTAGCAGAATTTGATTCTCCCGAAGGATTACCTTTAGATTTTATTAAAGAAGTAGTATATAAAGTCGATGATGAAGGATTCGACAAGGTAAAAGAATAATTCTTCATTTGAACTTTCCACTTTATACTAATATAATTATTTATATTTTTTTTTATTTTTCTTAGATGTTTGTCCCAGCATTAATGGGATATGGGGCCCAAATAAGAACAAAAAACATATTAAACATGGATTATTTACTACCACTTAATGTAATATGATACGTTGTATAATTTGAGGTCTTAGTATTATGACATTTAATTAAACGATCAATTTTATGTTAGTCGGTAGTAACTCTGTCAGAAATAAAACCATTGGCCGATAAGGTAATGTTAAAAATCGCTTTGAAACAAGCATCATAGAATAACTGCAATATTAAATGTATTAAAAAATTAGATGACGACATTACGCAATTGGTGTTCTCCAAATTCGTCTGCAAGAATGTTTGAAGTCGGCACATTTTTGGGACCTTTTTGTAAATTTTCCGCTTTTCCGACCGATGAGGTTTTTTCCTTACACAATTAAATAAAGATTTCTTTCGATTAATTTTTCATTATCTAAAATGACCGTAATTTATGTATCAGCCAAAGATAGCTGAAATTTATTTTGCTAACCTCCATACAAGACGGCAAGCTGATGTTGAGTCAGCGATGACGAGTTTAAGAGTTGCTATACGTGGAATACAGGTTGATATGAATTTTCATTATAATAATCCTTTTATTGTTTCCTTTATACAAGCTTGTCTAAAATTTGTTTCTTAATTATGTGACGAGTGAATAGCAATCTATTTTCAAAATTTTTAATAATATTGTTCGTTCCTCGCCATCAGCTAGAGAGGCTGTACTTGGTTATTTTGCTGAGGTCATTAAATTAAACGAGCGAAGGGTTCAGATACAGGTTAATATTATTGCAGCTTTATTTCTCACACGTTTATTGGATCAATAGTAAATTTTATTTTATACCGAAACTTCAGGTTGACCCATTACAAGTCGGAACTGATGGATTTTTAATGAATTTAACGAGTGTATTATTACATTTTGCAGATCCCATTATGGATATGCTAAATCCAAAGGTAACTATTTCTTCTCTTATTCAAGTTAGAACTAAAATTATTTTATGATATATATATTCTTTTTCAAAGATTGATCGCATAGATGTCGATTATTTTCGTAAATCTAATCGAATTGATATTAGTCGGGAGACCAAAATTAAGGCTACTAAACAAGAAGCAGATGCGTATTTTTCGATAGTAGATGAAAGCGCGTCTGGTAACGATTACGTTTATTTAATCTTGAAATGATGATTGAAATTTTTTTTTTTTAATTAATTCTTGTATCATTAATAGCTCCAAACTTTGTATCTGAAATATTTTTTCTTACAATTACAATGCATCATTATGGTCCATTACATTGCTATGAAAAATATAATGCTTTCATCAGAGATATATCAGAACTCCAAAAACAATATGATCGAATGAGAGCTGATCAACATAATTGGGCAGGGGTATTTATATATATATATATTTGACTTAAAGTCTTTAAGGCGTTTAATATTTAGTTTTACGGATGATGATCTATCTTAACATTTCCACCATTAGACTCCGATGGCTGCAAGAAATGAAGAGATATTGGCACATTGTAAAGTTCGTAATGTTCAATGAACAATCTTCACTATTGAATTTCACTAACTTATATAATTAAATAATAGACGCAGCTTGAAAAACTTACATCACACAGAATAGCATACGAAACCCAACTTTTGGATCAAGTTTACTTGGATCATTCACTTAAATTTTACAATCTAGTAATGAATTGGATGCTGAGAATCGTTGATCCCACTGGAAAACATCCAGAAAAACAAATACAGTATATATCCTTGAAATTTAATTCCTATAAATATGCCGAATCTATTATACTTATTATGCATGTATAGGTTACCGCTTCCTCCAACACCACCTGACACGTTCGCTATGTTGCCTGAATATATTTTTGAAGATGTAACTGAATTATTCCTCTTTGTCGCAAAGTAACTAAATTTTTTTATGATTGTTTATAATAATTAATTACTCTTCGATGTAGTGTTAATTTCTTTGTGCTTAGGTATACTCCACGATCGTGTGTTGCCTCTCGAGACGTGTTGATAGTTTTCATTATCACTTTTCTCAAATCTTCATCTTATATTAAGAAACCCTATTTGAAAGCCAAATTAGTAGAAGTACGTTATAATTTCTCAATTAAGGTTTTCCTTTGAAAAAAATGATCTAACAATTCATTTTTGTTCCATTATTATTATTTTTTTTTAGATTTTGTTCTACTTTACATTTCGCAACGATCGTGAAGGTGGTATAGTAGATTTATTAAATTCACATCCTCTTGCTCTGAATCATTTGTTACCAGCTCTGATGTCCTTTTATGTCGGTAAGAGTCTGTTTTTATAAATCACTTGCAATCTGTTTAATTATTTAATTGATATAAACTAATTCAAACTATTAGAGGTGGAACAAACCGGTGTACATACGCAATTTTATGACAAATTTAACATTCGATATAATATTTCACAAATATTCAAGGAGATATGGGGTAACCATATACATAAGGAAAAATTGAAAGAAGAGAGTCGGTGAGTCTTATTAACGGTCTCGAAATATTATAACATAGAGATGCATATTTATTACTTTTTTGTTAAATTCAGTCAATATAAACCTGCATCTCTACTAGAATATTTATGATTTCTATATGTTATTATTGCACAAGCTCATTACGGATTAATGCATATATATTTTTTCCATTTACAGTAACATTGATTCCTTTGTCCGATTTGCAAATTTGTTGATGAATGACGTTACCTATTTATTAGATGAAAGCTTAAGGAAGCTTGCAGAAATCCATTCTATACAAAACGAAATGGATAATAGGGAAGAGTGGGAAAGTAAACCACAGGTTTGTTAATGAACTTTATTTTTTTTTGTTAAATAAATTATAATACATTGTATTAATCGTATGAATGTGATTTTCTTGTAATAAAAAATAAATATGATAGCAATATCGCCAAGAGCGCGAAAGCACACTCCGTGCTGATGAGCGATCAGCAACCTCTTACATGTCACTTGGAAACGAAACAGTAAATATGTTGGTATATATGACATCTGAAGTTGCGGACCCATTCCTTACACCTCAAATGGTTGAAAGATTGGCAGCGATGTTGGATTATAATTTAAAGTCACTAGTTGGGCCAAAATGTACAGAACTTAAAGTTAGAAATCCAGAGACATACAGTTTTAGACCTAAAGACTTATTGTCGCAATTGGTTAATATTTATTTGAATTTATGTAAACATAAAGAATTTATACAAGCAGTCGCAAGGGATCGTAGAAGTTACGATAGAGCGTATTTTTCAAAAGCAGCTAGTATTTTATTGAAATTTGGATTAAATTCAGAGAAGAATGTCAGTGTGTTGGAGAAATTTGTTAATGAAGTAGAAAAAACAATTAAATTGGAACTTGAAGGAGAAGAAGAGTTGGGTGATGTTCCAGAAGAATTTTTGGGTAAACGGACTAGTTAACACATTACTCTTAAACATTATTTTTAGTTACATTAACTAACGTTATATGATATTATGTAGATCCGGTCTTATTCTCTATTATGGAAGATCCTGTAATCTTGCCCGGATCAAGAGTAAGTGTCGATCGAAGCACTATCACAACACACTTATTAAGTGATTCAACAGATCCCTTTAATCGAATGCCATTGACAATTGATCAAGTTATACCAAGTAAGTTAAAACATTAAATTATAAAAAGGAGAGTATTGTCTAATTACATATTTTATTTTAGATACTGAATTAAAGAAACGAATAGAAGATTTCCGGCGGGAAAGGCGGCGAAAATAAAAAGTATTTGCGTGGGACTTGGCTTTTACAGTACCTTAACTTTAGACGGTAATAAACCCTTGTGTGTTACACTATTGTATTAATAAATTGTTTCATCAATTATATATTATTTCGAAATTTTCTGAAAAGCTTTTAAAGCTTTTAAAGGCAATTATTGCCTAAGATTTAATTACTTTGTTCATTTTGTTCATTTGTGTTATTATGTAACAAGTTATTTGTAAAAAACGTTTTAGCTTGAATTATATGCGTTTTTTTTTTTTTTTTTCTAGTGATTATATATTATTGCATTATTGCAAATCTTTTGATATACATTTGCATTTACGATAAGCCTTTTATCGAGGCAGCGAATAAATCGACTGATAAGTGAAATTGTATATAACACAGTTTCTTGTTCAGTGGTAGTAGTTTCTGCTTCTTGTTCGGTGGTGGTAGCTCTAGCTGTAGTTTCTGCTTCTTGTTCGGTCGTGGTAGCACTAGCTGTAGTTTCTGCTTCTTGTTCGTTGGTAGTAGCTCTAGCTGTAGTTTCTTGTTCAGTAGTCGTAGCTCTAGCTGTCATTCGTTGCACTTATTGTGCTGCCTAATGTATAGTACATAATGTTTTTTAGGATAAATTCCAAGTTACACTTATGTGAGAATATTAATAATAATTCAAATTCATTATACGAAGACGATTGTCCAAACCATTTATAAGATTTAGTGTTCTCAAGCACCTTTTTCAATGGGCTCAACAGAGAATCTGATTGGTCCGTCTGATAGAACCGACCAATCAGATTGCTTTGTTGAGCCCATTGAGATAGGTGCTTAACCAACGTGATCTACTTTAACAGCATTTTTTTACTCCAATTCCACATGGATGACAATATTTCAAGATTATATTTCTATTAGTATAGACCGTATTATTATGAAATATTATTTGTTATTTACATCTATTTAAAAAAAAATATAATAATAAACTTGTATAGATTTTACTGACAATAACTTTTATTTTGTTATAACATTTACCAATCTACTTACTGGTACTATTAATATAGTTTTATTAAAGCATGCTCAAATAAGCAAGTGCACCCAATGAGTCTTCAAATAGGTCCTATAATAGCTATTTCAAATCATTATTATCAGCAGGATAGGTTTCTCCTATTCTGCTATTATTGAGTTCTAATTTCTCATTTTCATTATCTTCAGTTTCTTGTTAAAATTCATCTTCTAATAATGCAATTCACCAAATTACAAGAGTTTCCCAACCTGTTACTAACATAATATCACCTTCATCTTCCTCTGTATCTTCATCATCTGAAACATTATAATTGTTTGAGCTTTCTTTTGAACTTTAGATAAACTATCTGAATTTTCTCTTGATAATAGAGTAGTAGCATTTATATTATAAAAATTTTCTTGTACTTTTGAAATTTCTTTAGATTTTTGATTTTGCAAAATTTCAGTTTGAAGTTGTGTTATTGCTACTACTTTTTTAAACTGTATACAAAAAAATTAATACAAGAAATTTTTAAATAGCATTTCTATTAAAATTTATTTACCTCTAACTTATTATATCTAGATGAATACAGCCATTATATACAAGAAAACATTCATTTTACCGAAGCTGTTGTAATACTAATTGAGAATATTCGTATTGCAATGTATGATAATTCCTTTTTTCATTATATAAAAACTGCCAATAACAAAGTATATCTCCTTGAAACTGTAAATATATAATATTATCAAAAGGATATCTTTGGTCTATATACTCTTGTAATTCTAATAAAAGAATAGTTGAAGGTTCTAAAAACTAAGCTTGATAATAATATACCATCTAACATCCTAAAGAAACCAAAGATAAGCCATTTAATAGCTTATTAAATTTTGTATCTTAATATTTGGGATGCAATATAAATGAAATTAATAAAAGAGGTTGTTTCTAGGATTTCTAATGATGTTCAAGGTGGTTTAAAAGAAAATTACAAAGATCAGAATCTATAAGACTCTTGACAATTCTTGTAATCTAGTCAAAGGTATGAAGAACTTCATATAACTATGCTTTATCAGTTTTTAGTTTGTTAAGAGCAGAGCAATATGGTTCTAGAAGATTTTCAAGTTGTTTTAATAATTTCCACCAGTCTGGATTAGATATATTGGCAAGAATATCGTATAGAAAATTATATAATGCAGGATCACTTGATTCTTCAATCTTGTTTGCGAGACTCTAAATAAATTTTAATTTAGTTTTAATATTTTACAATATATATAATTTAAACTTTTATAGCTTACTTTTAAAGGCAGCTTTAGATTTATTGATACTTGTAAAACAATAAAAGTAAGAGCTTTATCTTGTATCATTTGGTACAATAAAAGTAACTTACTTGTTATATAAAGCTTTTTGTTTATCATACAAACGAGCAAGATAAAAAGATGATCAGTTAAAAAAACTAATAAGCTTAATAGCTTCTTCACTAATCATTTTAAATGAGCTTGATTGTTTAAAAATATTGCCAACACACAGATTAAGTTGGTGTGCAAAGTATGAAATAAAGATCTTTGAATATTGTCGCAAGCGTAGTCTTTTTCTATAAAAATAAAATTAAAATTAAAAATAAATAAAAAATTAATTAATATAAAGATATTTTTAATAAAAATTTATTACTTTCCTAGCAGCTGAAAATTTAGCTAAAGAATCTGTTACAATGGCATTTACTTTTATATTTTTTTTTCAATTAATTTTATAGTATTTTCGGTCTAATTAACTACATCTTGCCAACAAAATCACTTATTACTAATATCATCTGCTCTCCATATTATAATTTTTCCTTTTGAAGTAATTAACAAACTACCAAATAAATTTTCTTTTCGAATATTCTTCTACCCATCATATGCTAAAGTTATACCTTCTTTATTAAGAATAGCAATTTGTTGCTGATTTGTTTCACTTTCTTTTGTATATATTTTTAAAATAGATTCTGATAATGCACGTTGATTTGGTAACTCAAGATAGAGATTTGCAAATTTAAAAAGATACTGTACTTATGGATTTTCAACCCAACAAAAAGCACAACCAGAAGAAACAATAGCCTTTAATAGTAATTTATTAAACCTTGTTTTTGTTTATCAAATAATGGTTTTTCTAATTTAGAAAATATATCATCAATATGGCATTGTCATTTAGATAAAAAACCTTCTATTGACATATGTGTCGATGATGAAATAGGTGATAAATTGTTATCATCATTTATACTAGAAGTAATTGGTTTTTTGTTTGTTTTTTTTAGTTGAATTTCTAAATTTTTTTTACATTCTGACTCAGAATATTTAGATATAAAATATTAACATTGTTTTAAATGACTGTGACAAGTTTTTTAAGTATTTGCAAACTTTTCTTTAACAGCTTCAGCATGTTTAAGAGCTTCAATACAAGACTGACAAACTGCATATCGATTACATGAATTTGTTATTTGGTCTAAAATAAGAAAATATGGTGTAAGAATATGTGGTTTTTTATCCATATTGATATTACTATATTAATATGATTAAAGTAATGATACGTAAAAAAATTTTTTTAAATATTTATATATTTTTGTAATATAATTCAAAAAAATTAAAATTGAATAAATTAAATTGGACTGGAATTGGACTGGAATTGAACTGGAATTGGACTATATTCAATAAATAAATAATAAAATTTGGATATTGTCCAATGCCAATAGTTTCAATATGTATTGAAATTTTTTGGATTAGTCTGAATTCCAATAGTCCAATAATTCAATAAAATTTTATTGATCATAGTCCAATGCCAACACTGCCTTAGAATGATTAAAATTAGAGATTCAGCATCTTTTACTATAGCAAAGACACTTTTTTTTATAGAATGAACACCTTTTAATATAGGATAAGCACCTTTTAATATAAGATGAGCACCTTTTAATATAGCAAAGGCACTTTTGCTATTTTGGGTTTATTTTGCTTTGTTTATTCTTAATGTTGTTGTTATATCGTTTTGAGCTGTTCTGGGGTACTATTTGTATTTATGTACCTTGGTCCAGGTTCTATTTATATCAAACGAACTTATAAATTAAATAATTAAATAACTATTGCTTTAAATAGAATTCTGTGAAAATTATCCTAATAAAGTTAATAATAAACCATCATTTGAGTGACTAAAATAAATAAAATATGTTGAAAACTATATAAATAAACTAATAATACTATAAAATATATAATAATAATATAAATAATATAATAAAATTTAAGAGAAAATATAATAAATATATAATAAAAATTGTTAATAAAATTTGATTAATAAAAATTGCCTAATAAAATATATAATCTTAATAAATTTAATTAATAAAATTTGCTAATAAAATTTGCTAATAAAATTTGCTAATATAACAATATGCTGTTAAAATAATTATAACAATAGAAAATATTTATAAAGGTTGGCTATAGAGTATTTTTTAAATTCAGTTGTTATTTATACTAGATAAGAATCTCTAAAACAAAAGAAATAGCTTTTTTTGTAATTAGATCTCTAGTAAGCAAGTTTGTTTTTAAGATTAATAGTATATTTAGATTATATTTGTTAGACAAAGTCTGTAGATTTTAATATTGATGAAAGTCAAAACTAGGTTTAACTTTTATTAATAAATAAAGTAAAAAACTTGTCAAAACTATTAGAAGATAGGTTTGAGTTTCATATACTTTTTATTTGCAGTTATTTATATTTCTTTTAATTTATTTATAGTATATTAATTTAATTATTAGACTATATAAATTTAATTGTTTTTTCTAATCTGATCAGGTCAAATTTTAGAAATTTTAGAAAATTGTTTATATGTTTTAATAGTTAGGTGGGATTTTAAAATTTTTTTTATAAGAGTGTGGTGATTTAGTGAAGTTGGCAAGTTGTTGCACCTCAAGCAGCAGGACTGAAGTTCGAATCCTACTGGCAACGAAAATTTGAATTTATGAAAAATGCATTTGGAAGACTGTATCTTATTGGGTTATAGAACCTGTAATGAGGATCATACAAGCTTGTACTGGAAGGTAGTGGAACATGTAGTATGATGTACAAGTTACACAAAACCTGAGTGAAGCTACTGAATAAATCTAGCAAATTTACAGGATACAGAATCCTGCTTGGCAAGACCCGAGTAGAAAGGTAGCACAGATCTTCAACGGTTACTATGTAAAGGATGATCAACTAAATACTAAAAAACTAGACAGGATCAAGGTGTTTGGCAAAGTACTAATACCAACCAGGCTGACAGAAAAAACTGAAGAAAGGGTTCCAGCCCTTCCAGGCTATCGGATTGGGAGTTTGGATTTCTGGAGGTATAGGAGGGAGTCTGTAAAGTAGATATCGTGATTTGGGTGAACTCTACAAGGGCTGTAGTAGATAACTGTAGCGGCCTCAGCTCGCAAGTACTTGTTCTCAGACTTGGCGTAAGTTACCGAAAAATCTCAGTCTGAAAATGTGTGGGATATAAAAAGATTAGGTGCATCTACTTCGCCAGGACCCCGAACAATCTATAGACAGGTAAGATTTTAATTTGCTTATTTCAGACTACT